GACAAGATGCTCCTGATTTATTTAAGATGAGTCCCCGTGAAGCTGCCGGTGAGATTTCTGGGATCCCGCCTTGATTACCAGGGCTTGCTGACCGCGGCAGTTTCGCACTGCGCCGCGGCTCTCTCTGTGCCTCCCGCAGGGCGACAGCCCGTCTGCCTCCGGGGCGTTCTCGACCCTGACGCAGCGCGCGCTCTGTCTCAGTTTGAATGTCTCTTAGCCGAGCCCGAAATCCGCCAGGCTCGGCGCGAGGGGGGTCCGATCCGACCCTACATGGGCGCTGTCTTGGGCCCCAGTATGTGAAGTTTTTGGGGCAGCTCGCGAGCTGCAATGTCATTGCCGCCGCCGCAACAAAAAAGCTTCTGTCACCCCCTTTTTCGTTTCCAAAAACATTGATCGGAGTCGGCTTGCGCTAAATGTCGAGGCAAAGCAGTGCTTTAAACGCTATCCCTTCACCGAAGTATCTGCGGCGGAGAGCCTCCGCTCGCTTGAAGTCCCAGAGGGCAGGCAGTTGTACAGTGCATGTGCCGATATCAAGTGCGATGTCTACCAGTGTGGCGACATCGGGGATCTATGTCAGTACTTCTGCCCCCCGAAGATCAGCCGGGCCGAGGCTCTCCGCGCAGATATGTCACTGAAGGATTTTGACGGCGCGGGCGACATCGTCTACCCCGCTACGCAGATGTTGCCTATGGGTTGGTCGTGGGCGTTTTGGTTTGTTCAACGTCTTCACCTCGAAGTTGCCCGGAGGGCCGGCGCCCCATCGGCAACGGTCGCGACTGGATCGCGGCCCCGTCTGCCGGTCGCCGGGGGCCCTCGATCGAGGTCCTGTATTTTGACAATATAAAAATGTTCGGTTTGGGGCCTGGGCCCGCTCTGGAAACGCGGGATCGCATCGTCGCTCAGTTCGAGGCCGAGGAGTTCGCCACGATGACATTAACGAGGTGTCGTCCGAGGGCGTCGCCCTGGGAGCGGATGTCGGAGGCGCCGACCCTTGCACCCGTCGTGCCCTCAAGAAGCTGTTTTGGCTTGCCACCGGTCCCTATGTGGGCGGCCGCCAGCTCGAGGTTATTCTGGGGCACCGCGTTGCCGCTTGTCTCTTCTGCCGCCCCGGTTTCTCCGCCATGCGCGCTGCGTGCAAGTTTTTGAGGTCTTCTTACGACGAACCCGGGTGCTTTGGAGGAGTGGTCGATGCGAGTGTTGATTGGTGGCGGTCCTCTATATCCACCTCCAGTCGCCTCTTTCTCTGCCGCGGGCTTGCGAGATCGCGGCTGCCGACGCCTCCTCGTCCAGAATTGGGGTCATTGAGGCCTGGCTTCCTCGGGGCGCGGTGGCGCGCGCCCCGCGCTAGAGCCCTCGACGGCATGGATGAAATCACTTTGCCGCACACTGCTTGGGAGAATCCGTCTGAGCGAGGATGGAAGCACGCTGTTGGGCCCCCTGAAGTTCCTCCGGAGATCCCTGAGGCTCGCTTTCGTGTTGTATATGCTGCGCCTTTCAAGTTCTCGGAGCACATCGGTGTCAAAGAGGGTCGTGCTGGGGCGTGGGCCATGCGTCGTGATGCCAGGGATCCGAGTCGACACTGTTCTAGACGATTGTACTTGTTGGACAATTTCGGGGCTGTCGGGGGGGGCGGCCACCTCGCACGGTCTCCTCCAGATATGCCGGCGCGTCGCTCCCCTGTCCATCGCAAGTTACATGTTGGCTCGTTTTCGCTGGATTGCATCGGAAAAGAATCCCGCAGACCCGCCCAGCAGGATCTGTGAGCGGCGCGCAGCCCGGCCGCCCCCCGGGCCCTCTGCTATAGGCCCTCTCAGCGTGGCTGGAAGGACTTCGCCCTGCCCGGAGGACAGGCCCGCGCCCGCCCCGACGGTCAAGCCGGCCCGGCGCACCGTGCGGAAGAGGCCGGCGGGGCGCCCCGCGGTGTCGGCGGCGCCGAAGCGGCGGCCGGCGGCGGCGCCAGTGCCGCTGCGACGCCCGGCCGCTGCGCCCGGCCGAGGCCAATTCGCCTTCGGCTGCTGGCGGCCCTCGCAGCCAAGCAGATCTCTCCGGCAACAGCCACCAGTCCGTCAGCTAGCGAGCGGGCCGCCGTCGGGCCTGGGGTCAGGCTCTCCTACCAGAAGTACTACGAAGCTTTCCTCGAGTTCGTGGGGGGGCCGGCCGAGGACCTTGAGGAGCTCGAGCTGCAGGTCCCGTCGATGCTGGACACGTTCCTGGACGCGGGCTGCGCGAAAGCCGACGCCGACTATCTGGCGGCGTCCGTCAAGCGACTGAGCCAAGGACGCTTCCTCGTGCTCAGCGGGTACTCAAAGGGCACGCAAAGAAACTGCCGCCGAGGTCGAGGGCGCCAGTCCCTCTGGAAGTTGCCGGCTCGGAGATCTCGGGACTGCTCTCGTTGGCGGAGCGGGGCGCGGCGCTTCAGGTGATGGCGACGTTCAGTGTGCGCATCCGCCCGGGTGCGCTGCAGGAGGAGGGTGCTGGTGAGGGGCCTCCTCCGGCCCGCGCTGGCCGGGGGGGGCACGGCGGCGCGGCCCCCCCTCCTGGCGCCGACCGAAGAGGACCCCCTGGCACCACTGAGGGGGGGGGGGAGCTCGGCCGCGGCAGCCGACCAAGACGGGCACGTCCGACGAGGTGGTTCCCCTCGACAACCCGCAGTGGCTGGGCCCTCCACTTGCACGTCATGCCCGCAGCCGCCCAGGTCATGCCCCACTCTTCACCGCGACGGGCGGCGCCATGGCCGCGGGCCGTGCTGTTCCGCGAGGTCACCGTGGCGCAGGGCCTCCAGGGCGCGTGCTTGTGCCGGCTGCGCCGCGGCGGGGCGAGCGAGGACGCGCTGCGTTCTCGCCGCGCCCTCGCCGAGGTGAAGTCGAGGGGCCACTGGGGCTTAAGACAGCAGCGTCAAGCGCTACGCCAAACCCGGCATGGTCCAGCAGCTTCTCGCGGCGCTGTCACCGGCCGCCAGGGCGCGCGGAGAGGTTCAGTGGGCGAGGCTCGAGGACCCGTTCGCCGGTCGGGCGCGCGCCTCGCGGCGGGCGCTGCAGCGGCCATCGAGCCGCAAGGAGAATGGGGCCCTCGCGGAGGTCTGCTGCAGCGCCCCTGAGTGACAAAGCTTGCCGATCAAATCGGTGTTGAGTTGATGGCATGCACCCGCAGGATTTCAGCCGCCTGCGTTCGTGCGGGGCTGGCAATGCGATCGCGCGAGTGTGCCGACTCCACCTTAGAAGACGCTGCCCACCCGGGCGTTTTTCAGCTCTTGCTTAGGCTCGCTGGGCGCGGGCTCAGATTCGTCTGGATAGGCCTTGCATGCACGTCCTGGTCCCGCGCGGGGCGCAATCCTCGCCCGGGCGGGTGGCCGGGGCCAATCAGGTATCGTGATTGTGTCTTGGGGCTGCCGGGGATGTTTGACAAAAGATCAGCACAAGGTAGAGTTGGGCAATTTCCAGGCCAACTGGGCCGCCAGTCTGTTCCTCCGTCTTGCTGCCCTCAGCGCCCCCGTCATTATCGAGAACCCTCCAGGGTCCATGTGGTGGTTCCACCCACGTTTTCGTTCTCTGATGCAGAAGTACAACACCGCTGACTGGGACCATTGTGCTTTCGGGTCTTGTTATCGGAAGAGAACCCGTCTGCTGTATGCCAATTATGTGTTGGATCCGTTGGGCTCGGATCGGTGCTGGGGCCATGGTATATGTTCCTACACAAAGCAGCTTCAGACGGAAGTGGCAGGGAAATATGTTCATGGCACATTCCATTCAAAGGCATCAGCGTATCAAATTCGGTTATGTTATAAGGTTGCTCATCTACTCTGCCACTCGTAATTCGTGGTGCTTAAACTGTCGCCCCTGGGTTTCTGTTCTGTTGTTCTGTGGGGGGGCGTAGGTTGGTCCGCCTGCTCTTGGAGGGGGCGTCGCCCGAGGCGGCCCCTTCTACTGTTAAGAATGGGTTGGCCGACGCACGTCCCCCTGGTGGTTTTAAGATATTACCCTCCCTCCCCCCGGTTCATTTATGACAATGGGCCTGGGCATGGAGGCGGATGCTTGAGCAGCGCTGGGTTTTGTTCGACAGTAAACAGCTGCTTAACTTTCCCGTGTCACTGAGTCTGCTTGCATTTGAACCAAAAAGGGCACTCTCTAAACACATGGCCCTGCGTGCTGGTGAATGTGATCTCGAGTGTCTCCGTTCCGTTGCTTTTTTGGGCCCGAACCCAAAAAATTGAAGACGGCTGTCCCTCCCTGACCTCCTTCTCTCCTCACCTCTGTTGGCAAGTGTTGCCCTTTGCTAACAGGGGTTTAGAGGCGGCTGCTTGAGCAGCGCTGGGTTTTGTTCGACAGCAAGCAACTGTTTAACTTGCCCATTTTATTGAGTCTGCTTGCATCGGGACAAAAAGGGACACTCTCTAAACACATGTGTATGTATAAATGCACGCATTCATGCATTACTGTATGTCTGTATGTATGTATGTACGTGTGCATGTATATGTTTATGTATGTTTGCATATGTATTATTTTGTGTGTACAGATACCTACATACGCGCGTGTATCCTATCAAAGCTCTGCGCGAATTTGTTGGCTCGGCGTTTGGGCCTCCTGGCAGCGCCTCCGGCGCCGCCCCTGGGGTCTGAGGTGGTTCGAGGGTTTTGTTTCGGAATGTGGTTTGCCCTTTTAGCCCCTGGGGGCCGTTTTCGAGACCGTTGACAGTCAAAAACGAATGCGGGGTGAAAAAGAGCACCAGATGGAAGAAGGGTCCCAGAATGGATTTTGAGCGGATTTGCCCGTCCCTTCTTCTTGACCGAGTTCTTCGGGGCCTATCGAACTCAGATACCCCAGCCGCCTCCAAGGTCAGCGAGGCTTTCAGGCTGACAGAGCCCCACCCTGCCAGTTCGATCAGCGAATTTTCTTCCTCGGTTCTCGAGAGGGCTTTGCGGCCGCATTCCTGTCCATGCCTGCGCCCGCTGAAGGCGTTTCTGCTAACGGGTGCTTTACTGAGGGATTTCTGCCCACCACCGGGAGGTCCTGAAGCCGGTCCCACGGCGGACGAGGCAGAGCATCGCAGAGCTGACCAGGAAGACCCTCGCGGCCGAGCTGCAGGAGGACCAGGCGGGCGGCGGCGGGGAGGCAGGGGGTGGCGAGGGCCGGAGTTGAGGGACGTAGGTTTTGGGCAGTTGGAGTAGCTTTCTGCGCGGGTCCCCCAAACATCAAAATTAAGATTGGGCTGTCAGTGTTTGTTCTCTTTTGCCCGCCGTTCGAGGCGGGCGATCGCACTTGTCGGGTTTGCTACGGTCTCGATGCCGCTAATCAAAGTCGGTCTGGAATCAAGGCCGCTGCCTCGCGAATGGAAGAGAGGAGGAGACGAGCCTTGCAGCTGCCGGGGAGGGGGGCGGTCGCCGCCGCGCAACGCGCGAGGGGCAATAGGGAGGCGCACGGGGAGTTAGGAGCTGGGCACTGGAGGGTAAGGGGAAGGGGCAGGGCCACGCAGCGGACGGGGATAGCGAACGTCATGGAGCCCGAATAGGCGAACGGCGCAGAGGGGCTTCGGGGGAGCAGTAGCAGAAGACGAAGGCGACGATTACAATTGAAATAAGGCGCGCCACGCAATTTACACAGTGGTGTGCATGCAAATACTGTTGCAGCCAAGCTGCACCCGCAATGCAAACCGTGTCAGCAATAGGCAGGCTGACGCGACAATGTCCCACATGCGCAGACGACTCTTTTCTCAACCACAGGCAGGAGTTCCGTTGCCATTTCCAAACGGACCCCCCACGTCGTCATCGTTGCGGTTGTCGTCGTAATCATCGTCGTCATCGGTTCGACGATATCCAATGCGAACGAAACATTTGCCTGCCATGGATTTTGGGTCGGCTTGGACACCCCCGCGTCATTGCGATGTCTTTACACTCTTCGCTCGAACAACTGGTGTGGGTCTTCTCCGGTATATCTTTTCTTCGGCGCCCGAGGGGCGACCGAGGGGCGCATCGTGGGATGCAGTGGGACGCTCTGGGCCTAGGCGAAGTCTACGTCTCTCGTCTTGTACGTAGTTTTCTAGCTCCTCCTGGGGCGCGGTGACGCACCCGACCTGTTTCCCGTCTTTGCCGCTAAGTACTGGTCTGTACGTGCTCGCCCCGTCCGAAACATCAGATGTACATGTAGCCAGCCGTTAAGTGTACATCTGTACGTGCTGGTTTCGCCTGTGACATCTGCGCAAAACGGAGCACGTGCAGTTGCGCCGTTAGCGAGCGGGGCAGGGTGCAGAGAGAAAGCGGCGACGCCCGCACCCGACGTGCACTGCGCCCCCGCCGCTAAGTGCTGGTCTGTACGTGGCCCGTTTTCGCGAGGCATCGGCTGCCCGTTGTTCCCGCCGCCGAGGCCCAGTCCATGGGCCGCTTCCCGTCGATTTTCCATCCCGAGCTATGCTACAACAGAGGGGGTCCGTTGTAGCAAGCGTCGGGGGGGTTTTAAGTTGCCCTCCAAGACGGCATGGGAGGGCCCCAAGATGGCTACAAGACGGCCCGGGGGGGCAAAAGGATCCCCAGAGGGCCCCAAAAGGGCCCAGGACGGATGCTAAAACAGAGAGGTCCGTTGTAGCATCCGTTGAGGGCCTTCCTGGTAATTTACAAGACGGCCTGGGAAGGCCCCAAGAAGGCCCCAAGAGGGCTCGAGATGGTTCCAAGATTGCCCAAAGGGGGCTAGAAGGGTCCCAGGAATACTCCAAAGAGGGTCCCCGACGGATGCTACAACAGTGGGGCCCGTTGTAACATCAGTCGGTCGCCCTCTTGGGGCCCTCCTGGGGCCATCTTGGCCCCCTTAGGCCGTTTTGGAGCCATCTTGTGGCCCTCTTAGGATTTTCTTGCGGCCATCCCAGGTTGTCTTGGAGGGCCCCAAGAGGGGTATCATCAATTTACAGCAGCTCGTCTGCAGAATGCGATGCAAGGTATCGTGTCCATCAGAACCCTCAGGAACGTGAGGGGGAAGGACGTGTCCATTCCCAATTTGGCTTCCAGCGGCCCGGATCGAATTTCTCAGGGAGCTGACAAGGTGGTTCCGGGCGGGCCGTTGGGAATTGAGCCCCGCAGTGCCCGGGCAGTCATTGTCACGGGTAGTTCAATTCGTCGGGCCTTACAGGAGCGGCCCACTTGGCCTAAGCTAGATCGGCTCAGAAATTGCGGTCACCACACATCTTCTTTGGATATTGATTGCCGCCCCCGGCCCCGGAACTAAACCGTTTTTTGCAAAGTGGCCGTCTGGGTGTGTTCGAGGAGGGAAGACTACGAGTAAAGGGCGAGGTGAGAAGGAGGAGGAGGAGGACGAGGAGGAGGAGGAGGAGTCCTGTCACCTCGTCCTTCGTCCGATCTGGTGCGCCTGATCTCCGCACTTACGCTTGTAGGGAGTCGGGGGGAGGCGGGCGGCGGAGAGGGGTGGGGCGGAGCGGCGCGGGGGGGGGGGACAAATCAGATCAAACTCTGGTGATCCATCCTCGTCCTGCGTCGCTCGTCCCTCCCTGCCCGTGCTCTCCTGTTTCTCCTGGCTCCGCGGCCGCTCTTGTTTCTCGCTGCCCATTTTCGTCATCGGTCTGGTCGGATCTCGTCGGTGCGCTTGCTATGGGGCGCGATGGTCAGATACATCGGGAATGCCAACTTTAGGCTCCGCGGGGTGTCGCGGGGATGGATCAGAAGTGGCAGCGGCTACCGCGGGCCCGCCTGCCTCCTCCATTCATTTTATTGTCCACGAGGCCAGTCGGAATGGCGGGTCGGGCGTTTCGCATGAGACTTTCTTACCATGTATGAGTGAGTTCAAACTTGGAAACTTACAACAGTTTCACATATTGATAGCGGGTCGCTTCAAAATGTGGCTCTCGCTTTAGCGCCGCGCGCATTCGTTTCAAAATTTGCTGGAGCTTCGCGGATTCAGGACAGGTAGTTTTCAACATGTGGTTCTCGCCTTTGCGCCGCGCACATTCGTTCTAAAATGTTGCAAGGGTTTCACGGATTGAGGGCGACTCGTTTTCAACATGTTGTTCTCGCCGTAGCGCCGCGCAAATTTGTTCTCAAGAGTTGCAGGGGTTTCACGGATTGAGGGTAACGTTTGATCATGTGGTTCTCGTTGTAGCACCGCGCGCATTCGTTTCAAATTGTATTGGAGTTTCGCGGATTCATGACAGGTCGTTTTCAACATGTGGTTCTCGCCTTTGCGCCGCGCACATTCGTTCTAAAACGTTGCAGGGGTTTCGCGGATTGAGGGCGACTCGTTTTCAAAATATTGTTCCCGCCACAGCGCCGCGCAAATTTGTTTCCAAGCGTTGCAGGGGCTTCACGGATTGAGGGTGTTTTCTTTCATCATGTGGTTCTCGTTGTAGCGCCCCGCACATTCGTTTTAGATGTTTGCAAGAGTTCTATGGGTTCCCATAGATATCGTACCAGAAATTGCGTTTCGGAGCGATTCAGGGCTGTCAGGGCGCAATGCTTCCGTTGGTTCGCAGTGTTGATTCCCAGACATGTTTTTCTTGCACAATTCAGAATCTTTCAGACGCAACAGTCATGTTGACTGGCGGCGTTGAAATCATGATAATGGTGTTTTGGTGCGTTTCAGGATCCTCCAACGGGGCACTTCCCTCAGTGGAGATGAGTCCATGTAAGGGCCTATGACGAAGGATTCTGGTTGAAGGGTATATTCCAACATCGTTGATGAGTCCTGGGTTTGCACTGGTCCTCCCTCCTCGTCTCCTCCTCTTCGTCTTCTCCTCATCCTCGTCTCCTCCTCGTCTCCTCGTCTCCTCCTCCCCCTCTTCCTCCTCCTCTTCCTCCTCCTCCTCGGGGGCGCCCCCAGCGGCGCCGGCAGCAATTCTGTGCGCACGGCTGGGAGCACCCAGAATCCCAGGAGGGGCCCCGCCCGCGCTCCCTGCGGCCAGCCGCTGCGGACCCTTGCTGGTCGCGCGCCAGTTCGATGTGCTGGTGCCAGTGGTTCAGCCCTCCTCGGCTGATGCGCTGACCACTGGCACCATCAACTCAGACACCTGGGCCGGGGCCAAAGCAGTCGGTGAGTGGGTGCAGGCGCGAGGGAGGCGGCCCGGCATCCTCTTCGTCCAGAAGTCCAGGTTCTTCGACGGACGATGGGATGATCGGTTAGTTTTGCCCATCACTGGTGCGCAAGGCAGGGGTTGCAGTTGGTCCAAGGGCCTCTCCAGCGCACGGGGCCAGGGAGGTTGGTTGTCTCCGGCGGCGCGGGCATTCCGACATCCAATTGCATCGGCGTCAGCCAGGCCGCTAGCATCGACGAGCGCTGGGCCCACTGCGTCATCATGCGGCGTGCGCCCTTCGGTGGCGGCAAAACGTTGCTCCTGATATCTCTGAATCTGGTCGTCTCTGTCAGCGGCGCGGGGCGCGCGGTCAAGCCTGGTCGCCCAGCTTGGGCACGTCTATTGGCTCGGAGGGTGAGAACATGGACCTGTCGGAGTCCGCGGGCGGCCTCGTAGGGCAGTCCGGCGAACCCCTCCCGATTGGGGCCGACAGGAATTTCGATCCTGAGGCGCTCCTGGCGCCCCGCTGGGTTGGTCAAATTTGGGAGCGTGCTGCTGGCGTCGGACATGCCGACCTGCGGGCCATCGGAGTACGATTTCTTTGTGGTTTCGTCGGCGCTTGCGCGCAGGGCTGAGGCGCCACGGGCCATTTCGGATGCTGGCACGCACTTTTGCGTCGGCCTGCGCCTCCAGAGTTGCAGGGCGGCCCTTAAGGTGCGGGTCGAGAACCCGCGCGGAGCCTTCAGCCTCCACAAGACGAATGATGCGATCCTGAAGCTACAGGTGTTCGTGGAGGCTTTGGAGGCCAAGCTGACTGAATTGTCGCAGCCGCTAGATGATTTGGCGCGGCTTGCAGTAACTGGTTTGGCTTAGCGGAGCGGCACCTATCGAAAAAAACTGGAGGTGAAGCCAGCCAGCGTTCGGCGCTATTTCAGCCGTGGCGAGGGCATCAAGATGATCGTCTAGCCGCCAACCAGCGAAACCTCGACACCTCCAGCACGGAGGCTCGGGCTGCAATATTGCGCTGCTGGCGCGCTCTGTGGCGCTGGGGAAGGCGAAGGCAGGCTCTCGCGTTCGTCGGCAGTCC